GTTGGGGGTCCGTGGGCAGGGTTGGGTGCTCTGCGGGGCCTGGAGTGTTGGGGGTCCGTAGGCAGGGCTGGGCGCTCTGCAGGGCCAGGAATGGTCGTGGGGAGGCCTTTGTCCTTGTGTGCCTCTTCCCAATGTGCCGGGGGAGGCTGAACCCCCCCACAGTGGTTCCTATGCAGCGAGGAGCCTCCTCCCAGGATGGTGCTGCTCCTCGGCCCAGGCACGAGCAGGCTGGAGGGCGCTGCTGCTTGTGTCCCAGCCCCCTGAGCCCGGGAGCAGCCCTGAGCTGCCGTGGCAGCCTGGCCACGTGGTCCTGGCTGAGCATGATGGGGCAGAGGCAGGAGGGGTTTAGTCAGGCTTTTCCCAGTGCTGTGGGACTCTTTGCGGGGAAGATGCTGCTTGCAAAGTGCTAAGTAGTAGTGTTACTGTTGGCCTGGCCCCAGGATGGAATAGTTTGTAAAAGTGGATCCCTACCACTAACTGTTAGTGGTAGATAATGAAACAGTGCATTTCTCTCCTCTATGCTTTCTCAGCCCCCTCCAGCAGCTGTTTCTGTTGAATGTTAGGAGTAATGACCTATTTCACAACATGTGCTTTCATGGGGTGGGAGGGGACAGTTACTGTGTGCAAGAGTTATCCGCAGCAGCCCTTTGTGTTTTAACCATGTTGCAAGTTTTTTTCCCTGAGGAGCAAAATATAAACCATAACGAATTTAGCTTCCCAGTCTCTTCTTGGAGTGTTTCATCCCCTGGGAGACAGGAGATTGTATCATTACCTGGAAATGTAATTTGAATTATCTTCTAACTAGATTATGGGATCGCAGTGATGGATTCTGCACTGCCCTGCACTTTTATTTTATTGTTTGCAACTGCAGAGTGTGAGGGTGAAGCCCTACCAGCTCCCAGAGGGATGTTTCACTCACTCTGAGCTGCTGTAAGTGATTGCACAAGGTATAGAGCAACAGAGGATCAGGGCCAACATTTGCCTCTGGTCCCCAGTGGCACAGTGTTTGAGTGCCTGACAAACGTTAATGGAGTCATCACTCGCAGTTTCATGTGGAAATTGGTTTTGCAAGCTCTAGTCAACAGAGCTAATGATAATTAAAGAGAAACCCTTTAGTGCTCCTTGTGCAGGGTTTCCTGGGGGCCTGTTTACCCTGCACATCTTGGGAAATAGCTTGAGTTTTGCGTGGTGCTGACACCATTTCAATGTTGACTACTCTTTCCGTGTGGACAGAGGGGCCGGAAGCCCAGAGGTGCTGGATCACAAGGCAGAGCTGCTGCCCCTTCCAGGGCCACATATGAGAGCGAAAGGCATCTGCTGCCCAAGCAGCATCTGGCACAGCCCCACACAGGCACTGTAACTGCTGAGGGAGCTCTGGTGATTGTGGAGGGTCAAAATTAGGACCTAGTCCCAAAGCTGTTGCGTTGAGATCGCCCTATCCTGGTCGTTGTGATCGCAAGGGCGCTCCTGTTTTATGTTACCTGCCACCGCAGGCTGGCTGCCAGGCTTGTTTAAATGTTGTTTTGGTCAGAGGCACCGATGACATGGCCTCCTGGGATTTGGGGACTGTGGTGAGAAATGGACTGGACATGATGTTTCCCTGCCCTCGGCCATCGCTCAGGGCCAGACGCAAGGTCTTGGCCTGGGGCAGGACCTCGGCTGAGGCAGCGTCCTGATGTGATGTGCTGCATCCATACAAAATGACTCATTTTCTGACGGTAGCAGGTGAGAATAGCTGTGACTGTCACTTAGCTGGATTTCTGGGATGGGAGAGAGCTGGCAGGAGCCTTGCAGAGAGGCAACCCTTTCCTAGGGCTGCACTTACCGCTGGTGAAAGGCTGTAAAGATAACAGTCCTTTCCCAGCTGATGCCTTCCACGGGGAGATTTAATGTAATGGGAGCAGCGAAACAACCCTCAAGCCCAGTGTTAGAGAAGGAAATTGTAGCTGACTTAGCTTCAGCTTAGCATAAGTCTGACTCTTGCTTAGTATAAGTGCCTAAAGTAGGTGAAGCCTGTGGGCCGTGGGACTGAACTGTAACCCGAAGAACATTGCTGACGAGGCGACTGCAAAATCAGCTAGAACCAGCCCTCAAGGAAATGGAACAGAGTGACCAGAATGAACAGAGGTAATGGCTGACCTTCGGATAAGATAAGGTACTGTGGAGCAGGAACATAGCAACTGTCTAGCAACCATCCCAGGCTGTAGACATGGACCAATCCATCAGAGGGAAA